CCCCTCGGTTTCACCCGCGTCATCAAGTGTCGGTGGTGCGCGACATGACCTAGTTCAAGCATTTTATAATTGCAATTAAATATTTTATTTGATAGAAATGGATGGAAAAATTGGCATAATTAATGGAGTACTTTTATCTGTCGGCATATTATGTATGATGTAGTGTGAAGGTAAGGTTAAAAAAGTTATCCACTTTCCCTCCCCCTGCCGGTTGAGCGTTTTATTTTATTTAAAAAAAACCTGCTTAACCCTATTCTATTATTTTTCAGATCGGCACAGCCGTAAGCATCCCATTGTTATGTAAGTATCTCTCGAAGAGTATACAGGGTTATTTTGCAATGAATGCCCCAATTTGCAGAGGAGTTTCAGAATAAGCAATATAGGCGAATGGAGAAAAATATTATAAAAAACCTCAAACATGTGTCAGAATGCGTGGAAATGCATTATTTTAACTTTTTTTTTATAGGATAAGGGTGACAAACGAGCACACAGTCCTCCTGATGGTAAGTGGTTGCTGCGACCCATAGACATCTACATCTATCCTCTGTTACAAATCAAAATGTAGATGCGTTGTCACCCGTGAGGACTAAAATGGAATGCCTCATTTCCAGTAAAAAGGGCCTCCGGCCACCTGCACTCACCAAGCGAAACACAGAGGTAAACATCTACTTCACGCTGGTTTTCTGTGAGGTTGTGGTACTACCCCGGTTCGAGCCGGCCCATCCGTGCAACAGCAAAAGCTTCCGCGTGGCTCTACCACTGTTAAAAACTGATTGTTATTCATAAATATCTAATGCCTACTATTTTATTACGCATGCACACATTCGTAAGGATAGCTCGATTATAAATTCAGGTACCTTGACGTGCGTCTTTGCGCGCCCATCCTTCCGTTAACCGTAAAATTACTAGAAACCTACGTCCGGCCGGCCGGCTGACAGCTGACAGTGATGATCGTGACCTCATTACGTACGAGTGTGCTATTTTTAATTTTTTTTTTTTTTTATAGGTTGAGGGTGACAAACGAGCACACAGTCCACCTGATGGTAAGTGGTTGCTGCGGCCCATAGACATCTACATCTATCCTCTGTTACAAATCAAAATGTAGATGCGTTGTCACCCGTGAGGACTAAGATGGAATGCCTCATTTCCAGTAAAAAGGGCCTCCGGCCACCTGCACTCACCAAGCGAAACGCAGAGGTAAACCTCTACTTCACGCTGGTTTTCTGTGAGGTCGTGGTACTACCCCGGTTCGAGCCGGCCCATCCGTGCGACAGCAAAAGCTGCCGCGTGGCTCTACCACTGTAGAATTTAAATCTTCGTAGAGTGTCGCTTTGTTACCAATGACGGAACAAAATTATTTGAATCGCGAATACTATGAAACTATGAGTTGGTGTTATATTTTAAGCAATGAAAGTTTACGTGGTGCGCAATCGAAGATAGATTGGCAGCCAAATAAACTAATCAAGTGTATGAAGATGATTATGAAGATAGGTGGATAGCGCATGGAGGCCCTATAGTGTGGCCTGGAAACTCGCCGGACCTTTTACCGTTAGTCTTTTGTCTGTAGGGTGAAATAAAGTGTCGTGTTTACGTCAAAAAGGCCTAAAGTTATGAAGACCATCACAATAAAATTATTGCTGCATTCACGAAAGTTAAAGTGTTCCAGCACAGGTAATATAATATACATGGAGAATAGAATACATTAGATTACATTTACGTAATTCTTATTGAAAGTAATTTTTTACCTTACCACTGGTTCGAAAAAAAAAACTTCTGTCCTAGCAAGAACTCATTCCCAAGGGGATATTATCAACCATTTATTCAACTATATTATAATAACCCTTTTTAGACAGTTTTTCGACCCGAGAGCGAGGCTTATCCGACACTCAGTCAGACGCCAGACGTCAGTCTAAGCGAGATTAGAATGGCTCTCCAGCATCTTAAAAACGGCAGGCCCTAGGCGAGGATGAAATTACAGCGGAGCTTCTGAAAACGGGTGGAAAACCGGTACTTGAAGTCCTTCAGAAGCTCTTTGATTCCGTCCTCAATGTTGGCATTACACCAGAGGCGTGGAGCAGAAGTGCGGTGGTCTTGTTCTTCAAGAAAGGTGACAACGCTCCCTTGAAGAACTACAGACCGATTTCCCTTCTGGGCCGCGTATACGTGCTGTTTTCGAGAGTCATTACGAATCGTCTCGAGCGCAGACTTGACGACTTCCAGCCTCCCGAACAAGCCGGTTTCAGAAAAGGCTTTAGCACCATAGACTACATACATACCTTTCGGCAAGTTGTGCAGAAGGCCGAGGAGTACAATTTGCCACTATGTCTGGCATATGTGGACTATGAGAAAGCCTTTGATTCCGTCGAAATTTAAGCGATGCTGCAGTCCCTTCAGCGGTGCCAAGTTGACTGTCGGTATATCGAAGTGCTGAAGTGCTTGTACAGTAGGGCTACGATGGCTATTCGAGTACAGAACCAGAGTACGAAACCTATTCAATTGCAGAGAGATGTAAGACAGGGTGACGTAATGTCCCCAAAACTCTTCACCGCTGCATTGGAAGATGTTTTCAAGCTTCTGGACTGGAAACGATACGGTATTAACATCAATGGCGAGTACACTCACCTTCGATTTGCCGACGATATAGTCCTTATGGCAGAATCGCTGGAGGAACTAAGCACCATGCTCAATTACCTCAATAGTGTCTCCCAACGGATAGGTCTTAAGATAAACATGGACAAAACAAAGATCATGTTTAATGTCCATGTCACACCTATGCCGGTAGTTGTTGGGAGCACTAAGCTCGAAGTTGTTGACGAGTATGTTTACCTGGGACAAATAGTCCCACTAGGTAAGTCCCACTTCGACTGAGACGTCAATCGACGGATTCAACTCGGCTGTGACACTACGACACATCTTCTCGTCAGACATACCTCAAAACCTTAAAACGAAATTGTACAACCAGTGCGTTTTTCCAGTGACGACTTACGGATCTGAGACGTGGTCCTTCACTGCTGGCCGTATGAGGAAGCTCAAGGTCGCTCAGCGAGCTATGGAGAGCGCTATGCTCAGGGTTTCTCTTCGTGATATACTTAGAAATGAGGATATCCGCAGTAGAACCAGAGTAACCGACATAGCCCAAAGGATTAGTAAGCTGAAGTGTGAAGAAGTGAACTATAGCGTACCCGCGCTATAGTTGTTGCCCATAATTCACATTCTATTTGGAATAATTTAAAATTTCAGTCGAAACCTTATTTACTCGTAATTTCAAAAACTGCCATAACGGTATGTCAGTATTAAATAATAAAGAACTATAATATTAAATTTGTATGCACTTTGAAAAATAACCCGGTATATCCACTGGTATTTCATTTAAATTAGGTTTGAGTGATAAGATAGCATTTCTTACGTGAAAGCGTCACGCTGCAGTTGTATTAAGGCTGCAGTTTAAATGGCTTGATCCAACCGAGTAAGGATTACGCTCCGTAGGACACCAACGTAAAATAGCATCTTGATTTTGCTCTGTTTCATTTGATATGTAGAAAACGGAGATCGTCTGAACTAGCATTGAAGAAAATCAACCTAGACCTTAGAACCGAAACGCATCTACATTTTCATTCCAATCGAATAATATGTATATCTGTCTTATATTATGTAGATGTCTATGGATTACAATGTGCTTATTTTACACCCTTATACCTATAAAAAGATAAGCTTCCTTCCTCTTACATTTGTCATGAAATTGAACCTGGATTTTTGCATCAGAAATCAGCTGCCGAGAAAACTTAAGAAAATATTAATTGTACGATCTTTTTCCTTAACATACAGAATATCCCAGAAGTCGACGTCAAGCCGGAATCAAGTGATAGGTTAAGACATAATAGTTACCAAAAGAATGCAAAAAAAAATCTTTGCTATGTATTTTAAAAATTACAGGCATTTTAAAAAAAACCGTGAAAATCTACAGCCTGTGACGGTCTTTTAACTCCTGTTGCTACAAATTTTAACTTATTTTTTAATTTTCCTTTATTATGCAATCCTGAATAATGCTTCTAAAAACTGTTGCTTAAAATTTACAGCCAAATGCTCCAATCCAATTTTTTTTCCAACCAAGTATTCAAAATGAATACTTTGCCTAGTTTTAAATGACTGTACTGAAAAAAAAATTAATTCACGATGATTTCTTATATTTACGCGAACACTACACATTGAATAAAAATTATTTCACGAGTTTTGCAAATAACTTTAAAAGGACGAAGCCAAAATGTGGTTAGTACGAAATCAACACGAACGAAAACAGAAAGATACACAGTAAACGAAGGAACGTAACGTACTGAACTTAATTGTGTGTGCGACAGCAAAAAAGTAGCATCACTATCTGTCACGCTCACAACAGCAGTTAAAAGACCGTCACAGGATGTAGATTTTCTCGATTTTTTATAAATGCCTGTAATCTTTTAAACACTTAGCACATATTTTTTAAATATTTTTCTGTTAACTATTATGACTTGACCTATCACCCGATTCCGGCTTGACGTCGACTTCTGGGACACCTGTATGTGTTTACGCCAAAGCCCATCCATCGACTGATGACAGTGACGGAAATAATTTTAAAATTGAATTATTTACTAATATAAATAAAATAAATTTACTAAAATAATAAAATTGCTTGAAAATAAAATAACATTCCTCTATTGAAGGCAAATCTAACGGTGGCAAAGGTGCCGGGGCTGGCGCAAGAGCTTGTTCCATAGGAGGTGGAAAAGGCAGCGGAGGTGGAAATGGCCACGGAGGTGGCAATGGACACGGAAGTGGATGTGGCCACGGAAGTGGAGGTGGCCGCGGAGGTGGTGATGGCCAAGGATGTGCATGTGGCCACGGAGGTGAAAGTGGCCACGGAGGTGGCCACGGAGGTAGATGTGGCCACGGAGGTAGAGGAAGCCACGTAGGTGGATGTGGCCACGGAGGAGGTGGTATCCACGGAGGTGGATGTAGCCACGGAGATGGAGGTGGACAAGGAGGTGGTGGTGGCAACGGAGGTGGAAGTGGCGGCGGAGCTGGTGGCGGCGCTGGTGGCGGCAACGGAGGAGGAAGTGGCGGTGGAGCTGGTGGCGGTAGCGGAGGTGGAAGTGGTGGCGGAGCTGGTGGCGGCGCTGGTGGCGGCAACGGAGGAGGAAGTAGCGGTGGAGCTGGTGGCGGTAGCGGAGGTGGAAGTGGCGGCGGAGCTGGTGGCGGCGCTGGTGGCGGCAACGGAGGAGGAAGTGGCGGCGGAGCTGGTGGCGGCAACGGAGGAGGAAGTGGCGGCGGAGCTGGTGGCGGCAACGGAGGTGGAAGTGGCGGCGGAGCTGGTGGCGGCGCTGGTGGCGGTAGCGGAGGTGGATGTGGCGGCGGAGCTGGTGGCGGCAACGGAGGTGGAAGTGGCGGCGGAGCTGGTGGCGGCAACGGAGGAGGAAGTGGCGGCGGAGCTGGTGGCGGCAACGGAGGAGGAAGTGGCGGCGGAGCTGGTGGTGGCAACGGAGGTGGAAGTGGCGGCGGTGCTGGTGGCGGCAACGGAGGAGGAAGTGGCGGCGGAGCTGGTGGCGGCAACGGAGGAGGAAGTGGCGGCGGAGCTGGTGGCGGCAACGGAGGAGGAAGTGGCGGCGGCGCTGGTGGTGGCAACGGAGGTGGAAGTGGTGGCGGCGCTGGTGGCGGTGCTGGTGGCGGCAACGGAGGAGGAAGTGGCGGCGGAGCTGGTGGCGGCAACGGAGGAGGAAGTGGCGGCGGTGCTGGTGGTGGCAACGGAGGAGGAAGTGGCGGCGGAGCTGGTGGCGGCAATGGAGGAGGAAGTGGCGGCGGAGCTGGTGGCGGCAACGGAGGTGGAAGTGGCGGTGGAGCTGGTGGCGGCGCTGGTGGCGGTAGCGGAGGTGGATGTGGCGGCGGAGCTGGTAGCGGAAATGGAGGTGGAAGTGGTGGCGGCGCTGGTGGTGGTGCTGGTGGTGGCAACGGAGGAGGAAGTGGCGGCGGAGCTGGTGGCGGCAACGGAGGAGGAAGTGGCGGCGGAGCTGGTGGCGGCAACGGAGGGGGAAGTGGCGGCGGAGCTGGTGGCGGCAACGGAGGAGGAAGTGGCGGCGGAGCTGGTGGTGGAAACGGAGGAGGAAGTGGTGGCGGAGCTGGTGGCGGCAACGGAGGAGGAAGTGGCGGCGGCGCTGGTGGTGGCAACGGAGGTGGAAGTGGTGGCGGCGCTGGTGGCGGTGCTGGTGGCGGCAACGGAGGTGGAAGTGGCGGCGGAGCTGGTGGCGGCAACGGAGGAGGAAGTGGCGGCGGAGCTGGTGGCGGCAACGGAGGAGGAAGTGGCGACGGAGGTGGTGGCGGCAACGGAGGAGGAAGTGGCGGCGGCGCTGGTGGCGGAAACGGAGGAGGAAGTGGCGGCGGAGCTGGTGGCGGCAACGGAGGAGGAAGTGGCGGCGGAGCTGGTGGCGGCAACGGAGGAGGAAGTGGCGGCGGAGCTGGTGGCGGCAACGGAGGAGGAAGTGGCGGCGGAGCTGGTGGCGGCAACGGAGGAGGAAGTGGCGGCGGCGCTGGTGGTGGCAACGGAGGTGGAAGTGGTGGCGGCGCTGGTGGCGGTGCTGGTGGCGGCAACGGAGGAGGAAGTGGCGGCGGAGCTGGTGGCGGTAACGGAGGAGGAAGTGGCGGCGGAGCTGGTGGCGGCAACGGAGGAGGAAGTGGCGGCGGAGCTGGTGGCGGCAACGGAGGAGGAAGTGGCGGCGGAGCTGGTGGCGGCAACGGAGGTGGAAGTGGCGGCGGAGCTGGTGGCGGCAACGGAGGAGGAAGTGGCGGCGGAGCTGGTGGCGGCAACGGAGGAGGAAGTGGCGGCGGAGCTGGTGGCGGCAACGGAGGAGGAAGTGGCGGCGGAGCTGGTGGCGGTAACGGAGGAGGAAGTGGCGGTGGAGCTGGTGGCGGCTACGGAGGTGGAAGTGGCGGCGGTGCTGGTGGTGGCAACGGAGGTGGAAGTGGCGGCGGAGCTGGTGGCGGCGCTGGTGGCGGTAGCGGAGGTGGATGTGGCGGCGGAGCTGGTGGCGGAAATGGAGGTGGAAGTGGTGGCGGCGCTGGTGGTGGTGCTGGTGGTGGCAACGGAGGAGGAAGTGGCGGCGGAGCTGGTGGCGGCAACGGAGGAGGAAGTGGCGGCGGAGCTGGTGGCGGCAACGGAGGTGGAAGTGGCGGCGGAGCTGGTGGCGGCAACGGAGGAGGAAGTGGCGGCGGAGCTGGTGGCGGCAACGGAGGTGGAAGTGGCGGCGGAGCTGGTGGCGGCAACGGAGGAGGAAGTGGCGGCGGAGCTGGTGGCGGCAACGGAGGTGGAAGTGGCGGCGGAGCTGGTGGCGGCAACGGAGGAGGAAGTGGCGGCGGAGCTGGTGGCGGCAACGGAGGAGGAAGTGGCGGCGGCGCTGGTGGCGGAAACGGAGGAGGAAGTGGCGGCGGAGCTGGTGGCGGCAACGGAGGAGGAAGTGGCGGCGGCGCTGGTGGCGGAAACGGAGGAGGAAGTGGCGGCGGAGCTGGTGGCGGCAACGGAGGAGGAAGTGGCGGCGGAGCTGGTGGCGGCAACGGAGGTGGAAGTGGCGGCGGAGCTGGTGGCGGCAACGGAGGAGGAAGTGGCGGCGGCGCTGGTGGCGGAAACGGAGGAGGAAGTGGCGGCGGAGCTGGTGGCGGCAACGGAGGAGGAAGTGGCGGCGGAGCTGGTGGCGGCAACGGAGGTGGAAGTGGCGGCGGAGCTGGTGGCGGCAACGGAGGTGGAAGTGGCGGTGGTGCTGGTGGCGGCTACGGAGGTGGAAGTGGCGGCGGTGCTGGTGGTGGCAACGGAGGAGGAAGTGGCGGCGGAGCTGGTGGCGGCAACGGAGGAGGAAGTGGCGGCGGAGCTGGTGGCGGCAACGGAGGTGGAAGTGGCGGCGGAGCTGGTGGCGGCGCTGGTGGCGGTAGCGGAGGTGGATGTGGTGGCGGAGCTGGTGGTGGTGCTGGTGGTGGCAACGGAGGAGGAAGTGGCGGCGGAGCTGGTGGCGGCAACGGAGGAGGAAGTGGCGGCGGAGCTGGTGGCGGCAACGGAGGAGGAAGTGGCGGCGGAGCTGGTGGCGGCAACGGAGGAGGAAGTGGCGGCGGAGCTGGTGGCGGCAACGGAGGTGGAAGTGGCGGCGGAGCTGGTGGCGGCAACGGAGGTGGAAGTGGCGGTGGTGCTGGTGGCGCCAACGGAGGAGGAAGTGGCGGCGGAGCTGGTGGCGGCAACGGAGGTGGAAGTGGCGGCGGAGCTGGTGGCGGCAACGGAGGAGGAAGTGGCGGCGGAGCTGGTGGCGGCAACGGAGGAGGAAGTGGCGGCGGAGCTGGTGGCGGCAACGGAGGTGGAAGTGGCGGCGGTGCTGGTGGCGGCAACGGAGGAGGAAGTGGCGGCGGAGCTGGTGGCGGCAACGGAGGAGGAAGTGGCGGCGGAGCTGGTGGCGGCAACGGAGGTGGAAGTGGCGGCGGAGCTGGTGGCGGCAACGGAGGTGGAAGTGGCGGTGGTGCTGGTGGCGCCAACGGAGGAGGAAGTGGCGGCGGAGCTGGTGGCGGCAACGGAGGTGGAAGTGGCGGCGGAGCTGGTGGCGGCAACGGAGGAGGAAGTGGCGGCGGAGCTGGTGGCGGCAACGGAGGAGGAAGTGGCGGCGGAGCTGGTGGCGGCAACGGAGGTGGAAGTGGCGGCGGTGCTGGTGGCGGCAACGGAGGAGGAAGTGGCGGCGGAGCTGGTGGCGGTAACGGAGGAGGAAGTGGCGGTGGAGCTGGTGGCGGCAACGGAGGAGGAAGTGGCGGCGGTGCTGGTGGTGGCAACGGAGGAGGAAGTGGCGGCGGAGCTGGTGGTGGCAACGGAGGAGGAAGTGGCGGCGGAGCTGGTGGCGGCAACGGAGGTGGAAGTGGCGGCGGTGCTGGTGGTGGCAACGGAGGAGGAAGTGGCGGCGGAGCTGGTGGCGGCAACGGAGGTGGAAGTGGCGGTGGAGCTGGTGGCGGCGCTGGTGGCGGTAGCGGAGGTGGATGTGGCGGCGGAGCTGGTGGCGGCGCTGGTGGTGGTAGCGGAGGTGGATGTGGCGGCGGAGCTGGTGGCGGAAATGGAGATGGAAGTGGTGGCGGCGCTGGTGGTGGTGCTGGTGGCGGCAATGGAGGAGGAAGTGGCGGCGGAGCTGGTGGCGGCAACGGAGGAGGAAGTGGCGGCGGAGCTGGTGGCGGCAACGGAGGTGGAAGTGGCGGCGGTGCTGGTGGCGGCAACGGAGGAGGAAGTGGCGGCGGAGCTGGTGGCGGCAACGGAGGTGGAAGTGGCGGCGGAGCTGGTGGCGGCAACGGAGGAGGAAGTGGCGGCGGAGCTGGTGGCGGCAACGGAGGTGGAAGTGGCGGCGGAGCTGGTGGCGGCAACGGAGGAGGAAGTGGCGGCGGAGCTGGTGGCGGCAACGGAGGAGGAAGTGGCGGCGGCGCTGGTGGCGGAAACGGAGGAGGAAGTGGCGGCGGAGCTGGTGGCGGCAACGGAGGAGGAAGTGGCGGCGGCGCTGGTGGCGGAAACGGAGGAGGAAGTGGCGGCGGAGCTGGTGGCGGCAACGGAGGAGGAAGTGGCGGCGGAGCTGGTGGCGGCAACGGAGGTGGAAGTGGCGGCGGAGCTGGTGGCGGCAACGGAGGTGGAAGTGGCGGTGGTGCTGGTGGCGGCTACGGAGGTGGAAGTGGCGGCGGTGCTGGTGGTGGCAACGGAGGAGGAAGTGGCGGCGGAGCTGGTTGCGGCAACGGAGGAGGAAGTGGCGGCGGAGCTGGTGGCGGCAACGGAGGTGGAAGTGGCGGCGGAGCTGGTGGCGGCGCTGGTGGCGGTAGCGGAGGTGGATGTGGTGGCGGAGCTGGTGGCGGAAATGGAGGTGGAAGTGGTGGCGGCGCTGGTGGTGGTGCTGGTGGTGGCAACGGAGGAGGAAGTGGCGGCGGAGCTGGTGGCGGCAACGGAGGAGGAAGTGGCGGCGGAGCTGGTGGCGGCAACGGAGGTGGAAGTGGCGGCGGAGCTGGTGGCGGCAACGGAGGAGGAAGTGGCGGCGGAGCTGGTGGCGGCAACGGAGGTGGAAGTGGCGGCGGAGCTGGTGGCGGCAACGGAGGAGGAAGTGGCGGCGGAGCTGGTGGCGGCAACGGAGGAGGAAGTGGCGGTGGAGCTGGTGGCGGCAACGGAGGAGGAAGTGGCGGCGGAGCTGGTGGTGGCAACGGAGGAGGAAGTGGCGGCGGAGCTGGTGGCGGCAACGGAGGTGGAAGTGGCGGCGGTGCTGGTGGTGGCAACGGAGGAGGAAGTGGCGGCGGAGCTGGTGGCGGCAATGGAGGAGGAAGTGGCGGCGGAGCTGGTGGCGGCAACGGAGGTGGAAGTGGCGGTGGAGCTGGTGGCGGCGCTGGTGGCGGTAGCGGAGGTGGATGTGGCGGCGGAGCTGGTGGCGGCGCTGGTGGTGGTAGCGGAGGTGGATGTGGCGGCGGAGCTGGTGGCGGAAATGGAGATGGAAGTGGTGGCGGCGCTGTTGGTGGTGCTGGTGGCGGCAATGGAGGAGGAAGTGGCGGCGGAGCTGGTGGCGGCAACGGAGGAGGAAGTGGCGGCGGAGCTGGTGGCGGCAACGGAGGTGGAAGTGGCGGCGGTGCTGGTGGCGGCAACGGAGGAGGAAGTGGCGGCGGAGCTGGTGGCGGTAACGGAGGAGGAAGTGGCGGTGGAGCTGGTGGCGGCAACGGAGGAGGAAGTGGCGGCGGTGCTGGTGGTGGCAACGGAGGAGGAAGTGGCGGCGGAGCTGGTGGTGGCAACGGAGGAGGAAGTGGCGGCGGAGCTGGTGGCGGCAACGGAGGTGGAAGTGGCGGCGGTGCTGGTGGTGGCAACGGAGGAGGAAGTGGCGGCGGAGCTGGTGGCGGCAATGGAGGAGGAAGTGGCGGCGGAGCTGGTGGCGGCAACGGAGGTGGAAGTGGCGGTGGAGCTGGTGGCGGCGCTGGTGGCGGTAGCGGAGGTGGATGTGGCGGCGGAGCTGGTGGCGGAAATGGAGGTGGAAGTGGTGGCGGCGCTGGTGGTGGTGCTGGTGGTGGCAACGGAGGAGGAAGTGGCGGCGGAGCTGGTGGCGGCAACGGAGGAGGAAGTGGCGGCGGAGCTGGTGGCGGCAACGGAGGGGGAAGTGGCGGCGGAGCTGGTGGCGGCAACGGAGGAGGAAGTGGCGGCGGATTTGGTGGTGGAAACGGAGGAGGAAGTGGTGGCGGAGCTGGTGGCGGCAACGGAGGAGGAAGTGGCGGCGGCGCTGGTGGTGGCAACGGAGGTGGAAGTGGTGGCGGCGCTGGTGGCGGTGCTGGTGGCGGCAACGGAGGTGGAAGTGGCGGCGGAGCTGGTGGCGGCAACGGAGGAGGAAGTGGCGGCGGAGCTGGTGGCGGCAACGGAGGAGGAAGTGGCGGCGGAGCTGGTGGCGGCAACGGAGGAGGAAGTGACGGCGGAGCTGGTGGCGGCAACGGAGGAGGAAGTGGCGGCGGAGCTGGTGGCGGCAACGGAGGAGGAAGTGGCGGCGGCGCTGGTGGCGGAAACGGAGGAGGAAGTGGCGGCGGAGCTGGTGGCGGCAACGGAGGAGGAAGTGGCGGCGGCGCTGGTGGCGGAAACGGAGGAGGAAGTGGCGGCGGAGCTGGTGGCGGCAACGGAGGAGGAAGTGGCGGCGGAGCTGGTGGCGGCAACGGAGGTGGAAGTGGCGGCGGAGCTGGTGGCGGCAACGGAGGTGGAAGTGGCGGTGGTGCTGGTGGCGGCAACGGAGGAGGAAGTGGCGGCGGAGCTGGTGGCGGCAACGGAGGTGGAAGTGGCGGCGGAGCTGGTGGCGGCAACGGAGGAGGAAGTGGCGGCGGAGCTGGTGGCGGCAACGGAGGAGGAAGTGGCGGTGGAGTTGGTGGCGGCAACGGAGGTGGAAGTGGCGGCGGAGCTGGTGGCGGCAACGGAGGAGGAAGTGGCGGCGGCGCTGGTGGCGGCAACGGAGGAGGAAGTGGCGGCGGAGCTGGTGGCGGCAACGGAGGAGGAAGTGGCGGCCGAGCTGGTGGCGGCAACGGAGGTGGAAGTGGCGGCGGTGCTGGTGGCGGCAACGGAGGAGGAAGTGGCGGCGGAGCTGGTGGCGGTAACGGAGGAGGAAGTGGCGGCGGAGCTGGTGGCGGCAACGGAGCTGGAAGTGGCGGCGGTGCTGGTGGTGGCAACGGAGGAGGAAGTGGCGGCGGAGCTGGTGGTGGCAACGGAGGAGGAAGTGGCGGCGGAGCTGGTGGCGGCAACGGAGGTGGAAGTGGCGGCGGAGCTGGTGGCGGCGCTGGTGGCGGTAGCGGAGGTGGATGTGGCGGCGGAGCTGGTGGCGGAAATGGAGGTGGAAGTGGTGGCGGCGCTGGTGGCGGTGCTGGTGGCGGCAGCGGAGGAGGAAGTGGCGGCGGCGCTGGTGGCGGCAGCGGAGGAGGAACTGGCGGCGGCGCTGGTGGCGGCAACGGAGTTGGATGTAGTGATAGTTCCGGACGTGTCATTCCTATCAGCTTTGGTGTCGGTGGTGGTTTCGCCTTTGCTAATAAGTAGCGCTTGCTCCTGTACTCTCCAGGTATACTATATCTTGCTACATTAAAGAATATAATTTTAAAAATTATTTAAAAAGAGTGTTAGAGTGGCGGCCTCGTACCGGTGGACGAAGGTGGAGCGCCCTCAACCTGAGAGACGACCTGGTATAATATGCAAGAAGTCGATGCATGCTGGTGGCTCAGACCGTGTTTTGTGGCATTCCTTGGGGGAGGCCTATGTTAAGCAGTGGACTTGTGAAGGGCTGTAATGATGATGAAAATGACAATGAAACAACGGAGTTCAGATGAAAACTGTTTTAATGACAACTGACAACCCACAACACCTTCCCCTTAAAGAATAAGTTTTTATTAAAAGTGATTTATTTTGGAATGGATGGGTCTAATGGGTTGGCTCGACCGGGGAAGGACCACGCTCTCACAGAATACCAGCGTAAAATAGCAGCTTAATGATGCTGTGTTTGGTATGGTGAGTGTAGAGAACCGGAGACCCTTTATACTGAAAAAGAGGCATTCCATCTTAGCCCTCACGCGTGACAACGCATCTGCATTTTGATTCGCAAGCGAGGATAAATGTAGATGTCAATGGGCCACAGCAACCACTTACCATCAGGTGGACTGTGTGCTCGTTTGTCACCCTATCCTATAAAAAAAAAATTAAAACAATCTTACTTATCGCCGACATCTAATACAGGTAAAGGCTTGGCACGTAAATCATAATAAATTTTGTATTTATTTTGCTTATCAAGTATTACTTTGTGTTGTCCATTAAGTAGAGAACCTCACTCACTCACAACAGTGGTTGCTGCGGCACACAGATGTCTATGGGCCGCAGCAACCACTTACCATCAGGTGGACTGTGTGCTCGATTGTCACCCTTATCCTGTAAAAAAAAATTTACACGTCCTATTTTTAAAAGGTCTGGGTGCACAGGTAGCCTGCATTTTAACCTACGACCTATCAGCAGTTGTGCGGGAGAATTCAAATTATCGCGAGGCGTATTTCGATAACTAAGCAAATTTAAATAAAAGTCACTTCCACTATCTATGGATTTTTTAAATATCATTTTTTATTGTATGCACGGCCCTTTCACTCTTACTATTCGATTGTGCGTAATTGGGTGATGACGTCATGTGTTCAAATCACCGCAAAGTTTTTAAATTATCGACTTGATAATTGTGGACCATTATCGCTTATTACAATGTCTGGTATCCCATATCTAGCTAAATTTTCTCTCAGTACGTTTACGACGCTTTTAGAATTATAGTTTCATGTAACAATGCTACTTCCGTAAAACATGTCCACAATAATCATATATGATTTTTTACCATACTGAAATATGTCCGTCCGATTTTACTCCATGATAAATTTGGAATGGAAACAGTAATCATCGGTTTCTTACTAAAGTTATTTGAATTCTCTCGACACACTAAAGACATAAAGACATAAAGACATTTATTCCGACACTTCATATTACAATGACAAATTAATAAACAAAATTAATACGAATAAGAATAAAATAATAATAAAAAAAAATTAAAACACAAGAAAATGAATAAACAAAAAAATAGAGGATATAACAACAATTCATGACTTAATAATCGAAACAGATGAAGTGGCGGAAGGGACCGCCTCAGCATAAGCCGCGGGATAGCGACGCTGATTTTCACTACATACCTATTTACATATTTCTCTATATCATAAGAAATTCCTACCCAGAATAACACTTCACGTACGCGCCGTACGTGACGCTTTACGCGCGTTCTTACAGCGATCTATCCCTAAATGCCCATCATGTATGATTTTTAACATTTCGGTTCTTTAGGAACTGGGAAATAATATTTGTTCGTGTTTAAATATTTAAAAAAAAAATGCTTTCTTTTCGTTTATGATCTGTTTTACTTAAAACATCACTTTTACCGTAAATATATTGGTGGAAATTTTCACACGCAAAGAGAATAGCTAGCCATTTCTTTTTCTATCTGCGCATATCGTGCCTGTGTGTCAGTAAGTGAAGTATGTTCAATAGCTCGGCCGCCCTGCAACAGCACGGCTCCAAGCGCTACACTGCTCGCGTCCACCAAGACTACAGTCGGTTGCGATACGTCATATAAAGCCAACACGGGTGATTTGCTTATTAAATCTTTCAATAAATCGAACGCATTCTGTTGTTCACTCTCCCAACATCATTCTGTGTCCTTTTTCAATAGTCAAGTAAGCGGGTAAATACGCTACGAATACTTAGGTATAAACTTGGATAAATAATTTAAGGCTTCTAAAAATCGCTCTAGTTATTTTCGTTCTTTTGGAGTTGGCATGTATTTTATTGCTTTTACTTTTTCTAAGTCTTGTTTCATTCCGTTTTTGTTAAATATATGCCCCAAGTAAGTCACTTCCTCAACGCATATACAAAATATATCTTTATTAAATTTTAAATTAATTTCACGAGCCCTATTTAATAATGCATATACGCCTATCAAGTTCGTCTTTATTTCATTCCCAGCATATTAATTGCTCAATCTTAGCATGAAAGACCTCTGAAGCGCAGTTTAAACCATTAGGTAATCTTAAATACTGATAACGCCCAAACGGTGTACTAAAGGTGCATACGTCTGAACTCTGATCATCAAGTTTTATTGCCCAAAAACCTGAATTTGCGTCTAATACTGAAAAGATAAACTAGCCCCGTGAATTTTAGTGGCAAGTTACTTAATGGTTGGCAGTTAGAAATGCGCACGCTGTATAGCATTATTGAGAGGTCTCGGGTGTAAGCAAATTCGCAATGTTCCATTATCTTTTGCTGTAATTACTATTGAATTAACCCACTGTGTCGATGGGTGGCCTTTGTAATGACTTCTAAGTCAGTTATCCTGTGTAATTCTTCTAATAATTTATCACGTAATCCTAAAGGTAATTTTCGCGGAGCACAAACTACCGGTTTAACTGATTTATCAATATGTATATGGTACTCACCAGGTAAGCACCCTAAGCCTTCAAAAAAATCCGAATTTTCTACCAAATTAATGCCGTAAACACGTTTAATTAATCCTATTTCCGAACACGCTTATTGACCGAGCACACTTTCACAATGAATATTTGTGAGTAATGTATAACATTTAGACTGAACACCGAAATACTCCTTAAGTTTTTTTAGCAATATTTCGATGTCCTCACGCTGCTCATCTGAATCGAATGTAAAAGTCTCGTAAACATCAAATCCAACTGATCCAATCAGATTAATGAGCAAACTCGCTTCTATATATATATAATAAAAAAGGGTTATTATAATATTAAGGAATTTATGGATGATAATAACCCCTGGAAACGAGGTGATCGCTACCAAGCTATTTCTAACTTGTTGTGTTGTTAATTTGTGTAACATCATGATTGTAAGCTGTTATTTAAAAAAAGTCCCGCTGGGTTTCTTGCTGGTTCTTCCCAGGACAGAGGTTTTTTTTCCGAACCAGTGGTAATCAAACAAAAGAGTGACTTTCAATAAGTATTATTTATAATCTATATTGAATAAAAAAGTTTCTGTTTCAGTTTTATGCTTCCCTCTTCTTTGTGCACCCCCGATGCTTTAAGATAAAGATTGAATTGTGCCTTCCACCTCTTCCATGCGTCAGCCCGGCCGATGGGGCTGTCATCTAAACTCAATTCGTTGGTGGTCTTGCACGCTCCATCCCTTACACTTAATTTAGAATACGAATTAACGTCATTCAAACGTAAAATGCAAAACTATTTAGGTATTTTAACCGCTGCCACCATGTAGTGACAATGAAACAACGGAGTTCGGTTGGCAACTGTTTTTATTAATAAGCAATATTTTAAGACTTCAGAAACGATTCACAACAGATGACTTACCATTGACAGGTTTGTGTGGTAGTTTGTCATCCTTTTTTTTTCTTTAAAAAAACGTTAACCCCACACTAGGATTTTCTCCTGTGTCGTGGAGGCAGTTTACAAACATAAATTGCACAAGGACAAACATCCAGACCCGGAACAATTATTTGTAGGCCATACAAATACTTGTTCCGTGCGGATTCGAACCCGCGCGGCCCCCAGCGCAACAACTGATTGCTAAGCCACTGCGCCACGGAGCCGTGAAAAAATCCTTATTCTAAAAAAATTTACAATTCCTGTTTTTTTTTTTGTTATTTTGTTTTTTTTTTTTAATAAGTGTTACCCAGACACTAGGATGTTTTCCTGTATTGTGGAGGCAGTTTACAAAGATAAATTGCATGAGGACAAACATCCAAACCCGGAACATTTATTTGTAGGCCATACAAATACTTGTTCCGTGCGGGATTCGAACCCGCGGCCCCTAGCGCGACAACTCATTGCTAAGCCACTGCGCCACGGAGCCGTCTATATATACATATTTTCGAATTATAATTTCCTTTAGACAGAATTTCAGTCAACATACTTAACCGAAATTAGCTCACTAGAAGTGTGACTGAGTACGCAACCATAGGTGCACTCATTATTCTGTCTCTCTCATGGGCATCGCAATCCGGTTAAATGTTTAAATTCTACTTTAGAGTATGTAAACCCCATAAGATACAATAATATTGTTCAGTAGAAAATTGTTGAGCAGTGGTCGCTCTGATGGTCAGCGCTCGCTGTAAGTTTCACAGTACGCGAGAAACCCGGGTTCGATTCGAAATTGTTAATTGCAATTTTAAGTGCTGATTTACCGCGTGCTCGGCGGTGAAGGAAAACATCGTGAGGAAACCTGCATGTCTGATAAATAAGAAAAAAAATTTTTCGAACACATGTGAAGTTCGCCAACACGCATTGGGGCTGCGCGGCGAACCTTTCCTTGCCCTAAAACCCTCTCAGAAATGAAAAGAGGCCTGTGCCCAGCAGTGGGACGTATATAGCCTGTAACTTAACTTTTTACTTTAGAAAATTGTTTGCTTTTTGTTGCAGATCACGTCTTGGACCTTACGGCTTACAACTCTTACATAAATATTATGCTTTTAATTAGTTAAATGAATTTATGTTGACAGTTTGTTCTGTTCTTAGTAATATGCTAAATATATTTATTATCTTTATTTATATATAACACTGTTACAATAGCCATATAAAAAAAACGGAACTTCATCCTTTGGTTTTGTTAGTTTTTATGGTAGGCTTCACATTTATAAGTTTAAATAAATAGAGTTGAATTTACAAATTAGTTTTAATTAAAAGAATATCGATAAACACGGTACCAGATCATCTTTATCATTCACTAGTGGACTTGTGAATGATACATCCCGTCATAAGTTCACTGCTGAACATATGCCTCGAGCTATATGGCCGTCGATTGCAACTTCAGGTTACCAATCCGTTGGGCTATGTCGGTCAATCTGGTTCTACTGCGGATATCCTCATTTCTAAATCGGTGAGTTATGTACTCGCCATTGATATTAATACCCTGTCCTTGCCAGTCCAGTAGCTTGAAAACGTCTTCGAATGCAGTGGTGAAGAGTTTCGGGTATACAATGTCACCCGGTTTTACACCTTTCTGCAGTTGGATACATTTCGTAGTCTGGTTCTATACTCGGATAGCCATCGTAGCCCGTCTGTACAAGCACTTCAGTACTTCGATACACCGACAGTCAACTTGGCACCGCTGAAGGGACTGTAGCACCGCTTAAATTTTTTCTCATAGTCCACATACGCAAGACATACTGGCAGATTGTACTCCTCGGTCTTCTGTACAATTTTCCGAAGGATATGTATGCAGTCTATGGTGCTAAGGCCTTTTCGGGAACCGGCTAGTTCTAGGGAGGCTTGAAGTTTTCAAGTCTGTGAGCGGGACGATTCGTAATGACTCTCAAAAACAGCACGTAGCTCCGCTGTAATTCTATCCTCGCCTGGGGCCTTGTGCCGGATAAAAACTTGCTTTTAGATCGTTACTCACACTTGCATGTTTTTCCAATGATGACGAGTACAGCTGGCCATATAACCTCTAAATCTCACTCAAAATCTCAGCTGTCCCGGAAAGGATGGTGCCACATTCGAACTTTAGCTTCGAAAGTTGGCTCTTTCTGGCAGACAGAGATCTGGCAAAGACTTTGGAGCCCTGGTTTGGCTCGATCGCTTCTTCGTTTTTAGTTGGTTCACAAATGGATTGTAACGTTTACATGGTCCTGGTAACATAAAAAAGTAACAAACAAACGTTCCTTTTAATATCATTGAACACAGCATGCAACAAGTGGACATGATAACAAATACAAATTAAGAAATTAAAAAACTCTCAAGTAACAAATATTAATTAATGGCTAATCTAATGTTAATGGCTAAACCATGAAAGAAATCGAACAAATTACGAATTTTATTATAACTATTAGTCATTCTGTACAATGGCGAGTGATGACCCGCCGCTGGGTTATGTAGAGGCAAGATTAGAAATATTAGAGAAAAACTGGGAGGATTTCAAAACTAGACATGTTGAACTGCTGAAAGAAGTTCCTAAGGAAACCAAATCACAGTCGTCATATTTTTAGATGAAGTTTACGATAATTATGAAGATTCAATTTTGATAATACCTATAAACGTGAGCTAAAAACAGATATGATACATTTATCGCCAGCAGACTATACAATAAAAAGAACAGAACAATATACACAAAAATGTCCTAGTACTGAACGAATATTATCTCGCATATCAATTCCAATATCTTATATTAACTACATAGAACGGCAATAATTTCGCGATTTATTTACAGTTTTAATTTACAGAAATCAGTTTCTAGAAAACGTTACATTACCTCAAGACTAACTTAACTGGATAAGCAGAAGCTTTGTTGAGTCTATTCTTTATAACTTATGATAATTACACAGAAGCTTGAACGATTCATAAACAACGGCAAAGTAATAAGAAAATTTTCAAAAGGTTGGTTTAAAAAATCTAGATTTGTCGGTTGAGTATGGGGATGCTATTTAAATTACATATTTGTGTCAAAATTGGACCTTGCCCCTCATAAAACTGGGAAGAAACATTTATCCCAGATGATTAAGATGAGATTCCGAGTTGTAATTAATTGAAAATATTTTTAGAAACCAGATTCTGCACTTTAGAAATGCAAGAAAGTTACGATAAAGACATAAGACATAAAGACATTCATTCCAACACTTACATCTTCTACACACATGACAAATTACAATTAAAAATAAAACAACTGACTTATAAACAAACAAATAAACAAAAATAAGAATAAAGAAAAGAAGTGCATCCATTATATGAACATATATTTAAACGCACATTAAAATTAAAATTAAAAAAAATCGTGTGCTATGATGAAGTGGTGGAAGGAACCATCTCCAGCATACGCTGCGAGCTTACAGCGCTGATTATCAGCCGGACCCGAACAAGTTCTTACGGTCAACTTTATGCAAGCGAGTTTTTTTTTTAAATCTGTATTCTATACCTCATGTGAGATGTGCCGTAGACGGTAGTACCCAGAGTCCCTACGTTTTACTAAAATGTTTATGATAAATATATATTCATATATACACATATATAAACACACACACCCACATATATATATATATATATATATATATATATATGTTACGGCCCTCAGTTGCCCCGACAGAAGTCGACTGGACTAGGGCCCATGAGTGATCCACTCGACGGGCAACCAGAGGGTTCGGGCCCAAATGGCCTATGGATAATTATTAACTAATGGCTGATAAGCAAACACAAACTTACCGAGTTCCGGAGGTAGGGTTGAACATAAGGCACAGTCAGGTGGTTAGTAAGTGAATGTAAAGTGGTGTGTGAAAGTGTGTAAATGTAACCTGACGTCACCGATGTAATCGGACAGCAGACCCACATGCGCGGCTTTGTTCCACAATGTGCTATCACTCCAGTGGGCGTTCACCAATTGAGACTTTCTGCTTTTATTTCACTATATTAGTTTATCAATTTTATTGTACATTTAATGAACTTCAAATTTAACTAAATCAACGTTAATCGAACTTAAAACAAGTGACATACTGCACAACTTAAGAACTGTCGGTCAAAGTTCAATGTCCCATGTTCACTTAGCACAAAATTATAGTCGAGCACGAACGCGATCCCCTCCGGGGCACAAAGTTTTAGCGTTCCACCCGACAAAGGAAAAACTCCTTCGTACGATATTAAAATGCCACACAAGCAACTCGTCGACGCAAATTAATGGCAAACGCAGTTAAGTTAATCACTCAAAACTCAAGACAAGCCTCGCTGTAACGCAAAACGCACGAAATAAGACAACGCTATCAGAGGCGGTCTTAACGCGACCTAACGTTCCGAAAGCAAATACCAGACCGTCTAACCGACACGGCGGTTGCGAACAATTGATTGCCCACACGTCTCACGACCGAGCGGTGAGCGGAGAGACGCGCGCGGGAACGGGTGCCAGGCGGTGAATGATACCATTGAATGAACGCGCGGAGCGCGCATCTTGAATGCAAGTTTCAAATGTTAATATTGGGCCTAAACAAACCCCCGTCCCGGGCATAAGGACTTATGTCCGCGAGTAAATTGGCAAACGGGATAGGGTCGCGACGGCACGTTGCAAGGCCGAATCTCCAACCAAAACCTCGGCCACCCTAGGCACTCCATCAGATCCATACGACAACTAAACAATGCGCCCACGGCGCCAATACAAAGGCAAAGCGTTGGGTTCTTTAACTAACACGAGGTCTCCAACCCGAGGAGGATCCGTTTTGTCAGACCACTTAACGCGCTGCTGCAAAAGATGTAGGTACTCCAGAGACCATCGGTGCCAAAAACTCTGAGTCATTTGTTGCAGCAGGTCAAATCTGCTCAGTCACGAAGAGTTTATTTCCCTGGAGGGGTACTCGGGCAGGGCTTTAAGCGGCTGGCCAATCAGGAAGTGGCCCGGGGTTAGAACCTCCAAATCATTCGGATGGGACGAGAGGGGACAGAGGGGCCGAGAGTTGAGTACCGCCTCAATTTTACAGAATACAGTAGCAAGCTCCTCAAATGTCAAAATAGTTTCCCCAATAACGCGACGGAGATGCGTTTTTGCAACCTTAACCACCGCCTCAAAAATACCGCCCCAGTGTGGGCAAGCCGGAGGGTCGAATTTCCACTGGATGCCCTTCTTGTACATCGCAGTACCTAAATAAGTCCTGTTGCTGGACAGAAATTCGACGACCTCTTTCAAATATCTATCCGTGCCCTTATAATTCTTTCCGCAATCAGACCGGATCAGGTCCGGCAAACCGCGACGCGATATGAAGCGGCCCAGCGTAGCCACAAAGGCTTCAGTGCTGAGGGCACTTAAAAGTTTTAAGTGAACGGCCTTAGTAGCGAGGCACACGAAAACGCACAGATAGGCCTTATGTGAACGCGCGTTACGAAGGTTGGAGGACTTGACGAGGAAGGGGCCAGCAAAGTCTGTTCCGACTCCAGCGAATGGTCGGATGGTCTTGACGCGGTCGGGTGGTAAGTCACCCATCATAGGCTGCGATATGGTGGCCTTCAGTTTATAGCAAGGTATGCACTTAAAGAGAACGTTCCGAATGGTGCGTCGGCCAGCCAAAATCCAAAATTCCCGCTGCAAAATAGCCGAAAGAACGTTTCACCCAGCGTGGGCATTCTTAACACGATGGTCAGTTACCAGCAACCGAACAAGGGCGCCGTTCTTAGGGAGCAGTAACGGGTGTCGAGCCCCGTACGGTAGTATAGAATTTTTCAAACGTCCGCCAACGCGCAGCATCACAGCGTCGTCCAGGAAGAGGTTCAGATGGGCCAGAGCGCCCTTGACAACGGAGCCCCGCTTCAAGGTTTCCATCACGGGCTCAAAATGCTCCGCTTGGACCATACGGGTCCAATGCATCAAAGCTTCGCGACGCTCGCTAGGGGACAAAACGGAATCAGAGATGCGGTTGGACGGGTCTCTCGAATTGCGGACAAATCGACGCAACCAAGCAGTCACTCCTAAGAGCTTATCGAGAGAGCTGTACCGTTCTAGCAGGGAAAAATCCCGAGCGGGCTTATCCTTGCCCACTCCTTCTCAGGCTCGTAGGCCAGGCAATTCAATCGGTTCGGAGGATTTATTCTGGGGTCAGAATGACTGAGACTCAGTCAACCAACTGGGACCCCACCACAGCGGGTGTTCAACCAAAGAGGGGGCTTCACAGCCGCGAGAAACGCAGTCTGCGGGATCCAACTCCCCTGGGACATGTCTCCAGTTCAGAGACGTCTCTGAAATCTGGATTTGAGACACGCGGTTCGCTACAAAGACCTTAAGATTGTGAGGTGCAGCTCTGAGCCAACAAAGTACTATCTCACTATCCGACCAAGCGTAGACGTCCGTAATGTCGATTAAAGACTTCAAAGATGAGTGGTTGAGGAGTCGCGTGAGAAGAGCGGCTCCGGACAGTTCCAATTTAGGGATAGTTAAGCGGGACTTAATGGGAGCAACCTTGCTTTTAGCAAGTTCAAGATGGACGGAAGTATGGCCAGAAGAGCTCACAGTCCGCAAATATACGACAGCAGCATAGCCCTTCTCAGAGGCGTCGCAAAATACATGTAGGGTAGGTTTGCATTTCCCTGGAGGGAGGAAGCACCTTGGCATGCAGACCCGGTTGATGTCCGGAAGGGAGGACACAATGGAGTGCCACTCTCGCTTGAGAGCACCGCTAATAGGCTCGTACCAACCCAACCCAGATATCCAGAGCTTTTGAAAGAAGCACTTAGCCAAAAAAATGACCGGAGTGATCCATCCATTAGGGTCGAAAGTGCGGGCTACTGTAGACAGCACGGAGCGCTTGGTACATGATTTATGAGGGGGATCGAGTTTGACTCGATACGTGAAAGTATCCTGAACAGGCTGATATTGAATGCCCAGCACAGTCAACAAATTAGGATTTTCAGGGTGCTCGAATAGATGAGGGTCTTGTTGATCCTCTCCTGGGAGGTCCCTCAAAATATGAGGGGAGTTCGACAACCATTTGCGCAACTCATAACCTCCGGACTTCAGGATGACAATCAATTCGCCTCGCAATACAAGAGCCTCCTCGACGTCGGAGGCGCCCGTGCAAATGTCGTCCATGTAGACCGAAGTCTCCAAAATAGAAGCCCCCCGAGCGTATTGTAACGAACCCCCCCCCCCATCTTTTTTTTTCTTCTACTATATCCCACTTATACTTGTATTTCTTTAGAATCTATATCTGTAAGGTATATAAATATATCTAATTTACGTGACCAGTATAACTTGATCTTTCTAAAGGTTTAAATATAGGCCGTTTAATAAATTTATGGCGTGATCGTCTTAGTTAGGACCCTTTTTTTACGTTGTGTTTGTATAGTAACTTAGTTCTTTTAGGTGTATCTTGGAAGAATGAATATTCACGAGAGCAATCGAAAGCTGTTGGTAGAGTCTTATAAGCTAAAGAACCCCGTTCACGAAGACAGAGCTCAAAAAGGTTAAGAACAATAAATTGTCCCTATTCCACTTGTATCTGGTTCACAACAGTCAATTCCTTAT